GGGGGGGGGGGGGATACTTAGGGGTGGTGTGTTTACTTTTATGGGTATATGCTCATGTCTACATACATTGTGTATATATTATGTTTTATTTTGTTATAACATCGCTGTGATTTTGTTTCCTAAAATTGGTTTGAGTATTTTAATTAATTATAGATTATTGATATTTCCCTATTAACTGTGTTAGATAAACAGATATTGATTATTTGTTCAGTATTCGCTTATCCCGTTATTCCTACCTAACTAATAGGTCGATATAGCATTGTCGGCTTCCCTACTTTACCCGCGCTAACCTTGTAGGGTTTTACGCCGAATGAGCGAAAGGACCTTTCTTATGGGTCGTATTATACAGTTTATAGTGGTAATAAAATATATGTCGTAATTTTTATCCGTCGTTTATGTTTTGTACAGTCTAAAAACGGCGTACTGCTTCAGATTGTACATCGCCCCCCGACGGTACATATATGTGTATTCATGTGTGTGTACTCATGTATACTTAGATATATAATGTTATGCTCGATTAGATATAAGATTTCTTATATCATCCGGAAGTGAAATGTTTTTTGGTTTTGATTAATTAATTAAATTTGTTTATTGTTTTGATTGATTGGATATTGTTGTTTTTACACTATTAGCTGTTTCAGATAAACATATATTGATTATTAGTTCAGTATTCGCTTATCCCGTTATTCATACCTAACTAATAGGTAGGTCCATATAGCACTGTCATCTTTCCTCATTTAACGACGCTAACCTTGTGGGGTTTTACGCCGAATGAGCGAAAGGACCTATTTTATGGGTCGTATTATACAGTTTATAGTGGTAATAAAATATATGTCCTAAGGGATATCCATCGTTTAGGCTTTGTACACTCTAAAAACGGCGTACCGCTTCAGATTGTACATCGCCCCCGACGGTACATATATGTGTATTCATGTATGTGTACTCATGTATATACATATATATATAATATTATGATCGCTTAGACGTACCGCAACATCCACCCCAGACCAATTTATACCCCACCATGATTGTTTGAGTTGTTTGGGCAGGAGGAAAACACGAAATAGACTGATTCACTTAGCTACACTAGTCTGTAAAAATATATGTATCAGTTTGGAATCGTCGCTTAAAATTATTACCGTTTAATTTTCAAAACTAAACACATTTATTTTTGTGTTTGACAAGTACTGGTGTGTTGCCTCAAAGCGAGGAGCATAGTACGGCAAGAGTTATTCCTCTTTAGCCAAGCAGGCATGCATGCGCACAACAGCTTATGTTAATTACAAGACGAAACGCCGGCATTACATAACGTGGTATATTCTGCACAAAAAAAACCCAACTGTTCCCACCCTCCATCCCCATCATCACCTAGAATTTAAATACATGCATGTATACTGAAAACCTTTTTGTTATATATATATATATATATATATATATATATATATGTATATGGTTTCCAAGCTGCTGTCGAGTTTTCTTTCTAGTTTCAGTTCTGGATGAAGTTTAGCAATGTGCACGAACAGAAAACTAGCAACAATTGTGGTGTATGAGGACATACAGAGACCGAGACTTTTTCCCGGGACGGACAGCTGGTAAAATTTGTGTTCCATTAAGTGTTCTTGGAGGTGCCAGGACTGGTGGAGTATGGTGACAATAATGTTTTGTACACTTGAACTTTTGTCGCAGTCTATTACAGTCGAACCTCGTTATCTCGAAGTCGACGGGATCGGTGGGAAACTTCGATTTATCCGAGTATTCGAGTTAAGCGAGTTCCTATGTTTGGCATAAAGCTTGGTAAAGTTCCAATATTAGGCTATATATGTCATTGATTTCTCTGACAATCAACGTATTTAAACAGTCGATAAATGACAAAAAGATAACTATATAAAATAAAAAAAATAACAACTTATTCATAATCATATTCATTAATTAAACACACATGCTGTCTCCGATCTCGTGCTATGCTGATAGAAATTTCAATGCGGAAATTAAAGTGCGCAAGTCTTTATACAAATCACTGTATTGGAGCGTACACGTTGGATTACGCAGTTGATTTCGACATTCCAAAATGGGTATGAGTTAATTTAGGAAACATATCCACATTTATAGACCCCAATGACACTTGACATCTCCTCAACACGATGTACTCAACAATAATTATCGTATTGTTCCTATAATCTCTCAATTAATTATCAGTGCCATATAAGCTCCTGTAAAAACATAAACCAACGAACCAGACCTAGGTTGTGATTTTTACTGTGGAGCTTATTTACGCATGACCGCACACTGTGAGCCATTTTCCGAGTTTTCAGAGTTTTCAGAGTTCGAATTATCAGAGTTTTTATTACTAAGATTAAGAAGAGTTTTGGCCGGGACCGATGAAATACTTCAAGTTAAACGGGGTCTTCGAGTTATACGAGTTCGGGATAACGAGGTTCGACTGTATATGTAAAGGGGGGGGGGGGGGGGGGGGGGGCATGTTATGGCGAGCAGGCATATTTTTATAAGTTTCAAAATGTATAGGTTTGTGTGTGTCGTACATGTGTAGGAATCGTGGGGTACCGGTTTGCTAGGGTTTTACACTAGGAGTCGGGTAAACCCACATTATATTATAAACGGTTTTAACAGTAAACTCCCCATCACACTTGCCTTGTGAATCCCAGGGAGTCGAGATGGTGGAAGTACTATAATGGTAATTAAGATATAGTTATATACATGTACAGTATTTGGTTTCTCCGTGGTGGAGAATGTTACGTTATACCTGCCAAGGTTATACCCTGGAAGTATGGTGGAGCCTCGTTGATCTGGGTAGATCGACAAGGCTATTTATAGTCAGGTACATGCAAACTCTGCCAATGTTTACCCTGGGGAGGGTGAGTAGCTGATGTATCCGGTACCAGTCTTATAGATACTCAGTGTGGGGTACTTACCGTTGCATGTACGTTAAGTGTATAACTCTAGTCATTGGTGTGATTAGTTAGCGTAAAGTTCCAACCCGCTTTGGATAACCCAGGGGGGAGGAAATTACCTGTCGGTATAAAGGCCTGCTCGTCACATTTGTTGGGAATAAATATCATTAAATAGGCTGCGGCCATTTAATCCAAAAATGCGTGTTTATTGTTATTTCATAAAACATCATAAAATAAATGCTTATATATATAGACTCTTCACTTTATCCTTATTAATAATAAACTTTATTTATTGAGGATAAAATACATGTTTAGCCATATGCTAATCTTCCACATGGTCCTCTTGTTGGTAAAATACATGTGTTAGATAAAATAACATATTTACGCAATCTATATATAAATAAACATGGTAATCCTGCTAGTAAAATACATGTGCTAGTTAAAAGTTACATATATATTGATGCAATCGACATATATAAGGTTATATCACAGTTATCTTAGTTAAGAGTATCACAGAATGCATAAAGTTTTATGCAAAGGTATTTCATCAATTAAATGG